GGGGGGTGGTCATCACTGATGCCCAGACTCTGCCCTGCCATGCTGGGGTATGTGCTGAGACAGTTATAAGAAATGAAGGGGCCCTAACCAGTTTGGCTCAGTGGATAGAGCGTCAGGCTGCGGACTCAAGGGTCCCAGGTTCAATTCCGGTCAAGGACATGTACCTTGGTTGCGGGCACATCCCCAGTAGGGAGTGTGCAGGAGGTGGCTGATCGATGTTTCTCTCTCATCGATGTTTCTAACTCTCTATCCCTCTCCCTTCCTCTCTGTAAAAAAATCAATAAAATATATTTTAAAAAAGGAAAAAGAAAAAGAAATGAAGGGTCTCCAAAGAGTGGCCCTTTTTATCAGTTGACAGTTGGAAGGAGTGCGTAGGTGGGAAGTCCGCCAGTTCTCCAAGTTCTCCTCTTCTGGCGGACCCCTTAATGGGTGCCAGGCAGATTGTCATTCCCTGAGTCCTGTGTCAGCATGGGACCCATTGGGAAGGTTCTGAGCTGTCAGTCAGTGACCTGGCAACCCCGGGATGGAATCCTGAGCCCAGAAAGCTGCTGCTTGTCCTGCTAATGAGCTGGAGCTGAGAGGAAGGATGGCTCCTTTCCAGAGTGAGCCCCTGCGCTCCATTCCTAATGTGCGCCATGAGGCTGCCCGAGAGGCACAGCACCCGAGGGAGACTGCGCTCCCTCCTCTTGCCTTTCTCGGGGCCACCTTCTACCCCCTTCAGGCCTTGCAAAGAGGCCTCTCCAGACCTGTCAGCCAAGGTCAAGACCTCGTTGCCCCTGCACTGACCTCAGACAATGGGGGCTCTGAGGTCCCTTTCCTGAGTCCCAGGGGAAGGAAAGTATATGGTGATTTTCAAGGTGCTATTTGAGCTTCTCATTGGGGGCTGCATGCCTGCCTTAATTGACAATTCTTTGAGAAAGTCTATTTAGAGCATATTCAGTTGTATTTGGCCCAGCATCCATTCAATTTGACACTCCAAGTTAAGAAACAAACAGAACCCGGCAAGTGCGGCTCAGTGGTTGAGCATCAACCTATGAACTAGGAGGTCATGGCTTGATTCCCAGTCAGGGCACATGCCTGGGTTTTGGGCTCGATCCCCAGTGTGGGGCATGCAGGAGGCAGCCAATCAATGATTCTCTCTCATCACTGATGTTTCTATCTCTCTCTCTCTCTCCCTTCCTCTCTGAAATTAAAAAAAAACAAACAAATTTTTTTTAAAGGAAAGAAACAGAAGCAAATGATGCTGGAGTGAGAGGCAAAGCAGCCGCTGGGCTGCCTGGGCTCTGCTTCTAGGGCTGCTGCTGCCTCACTGGGCACCTTGGGCAGGTCCATGCTTCAATTCCATCCCCTCCCCCGACTCACACCCCCCCTCCCCCCCCCCCACCCACCCACATTTTTTAAAAGGTAGAA